GGACCTTGGATTGCTGGGAAGAAGAGGAGGCAGCCATAGTTGGTGTAGGTGAAGTGAAGCGAAGTGTGTAGAGCGTGTACTTGGTGGGTGTAGTTCCAGGAAGGGCGAGGTGCGCAAAACAAGGTTCGGACCGGAAAGGGAGATCTGATAGACAGATAGAGAGACTACCTGATCTCTGGTAGAATAAGATGAGATTAGGTTAAGGGTGAGACTGAATCCGGGGCCGGCGCGATCAAGACGAGAACGAGGACAAGAGAAAGAGGAAGAAAGAGTTGAACGCGCGGCGGGACGTTGCAAGTCTTGACGCTTGGAGGGGTGAGTATGTGTGTGTGTGTCCGAGTAAGTCGGGAATGGGGGGGAAACAAGAAAGTCTTGGGGTCTTGGGTCCTCGTTGGTCTTGGGGTCCTTTGGGGCGGGAAGAGGAAAGGCGAGGCCAGCGGAGACGCGGGCAAGGCGCGGGTGGTGACTGGGACAATGGAGGAGGAGGAGGGTCCGAGGGGATCCACACCTGGAGAAAAATTTGGGAAAGCATTACGACGACTTCTGGCTGACTAACACACCTAATTCCAGCTGCCAAGAGCCACCGGCAGCAACTTCCGTGTATTTTTACTCACCCCTTCCTCTCCTGCTCTTTCTCCCTTTGGTGCCTCCCTCAATAATCTCGTACCTTCCCTTGCTTCATCCAATGCCCCAAGCATCCCGTGATGTGGTACGTCACTGGCCCGAGAAAGGGAAGCCACGCACAACTTGAAGAAGGTACGAAATACCCCTCTTGCTGCAAACTGGTCACAGAAGATAAGGTACCTGGAAGAAATGGAAGCATCGTGACTGGCAAGCGCGCCTGCCGAATGCCAAGACGGGATGGGACTTGCTGGGTTTAGCATACCCGTATCTCATACGTACTCCGTATTCCGTATTCCGTATTCCTCCTACCTTTACCTGAGGTAACCAGGGCAGGTACCTCAATCTCGCTTCCAGATTCCGTCACAAACCGGATGACACCGCAAAACGGCCGTCCTCCAATTCAATCCAATCAGCACTCGCCTAATTCATTCAGAGGTTGAGACGCGCAGCATGAGATCATATCCAACCGTGAAGCTCATACATTATGTAGTATGGAGTACGGATGCTGCCACGGGCTCAAGGTTCTGTCATCCCATCTCATCCGCTCTCAGATCATGGGGAAGATCTTACTTCAGATGCGCTAGGATTTACTCCATGTAATTGATGCTGTCGGTCTAACTCGTTCTTGCCCGGCCCAAACCTCTTCATCCCACCGGCAGATTCTGTCTCCCAACGCCCCTTTGTGGATTAGACTTTCCATAGTATCTGTATGGACATGTGAATTCTCACATTCAAGGTCATGTTTTGACGATTTCTGTGTGTAATACCACGTCAACTTGCATATGAATTGCACCTGCCCTTAATTCTGGTTTTTACAGGTAGTCAGTGAGGAACAGCACGAGACCAAGACCATCCCCACTTGATCGATCATGATTCTATCAACAAGACCCAAGAAACCCAAGAAAGCTCAATGATACTTTCCACTGCGTTCATCACAACAGCGCCATGTCAAGTTGCAACCCCAGAGACTGGCCGGCGCAAGTTACAGTTTCCTAGCTCCCGCTCCTGTCCTGGCGGTTAGCAGGGGTCCTCCGAGCCCTCCCTAGCCGATTTCCGAGCGGAATGGGGCTGCTCTTTGGGCTGATGCAACGTCATTTAACTTTAATTGGTGACGAATCTGAAGAACCCCGCCCTCGCCATCTTTCCCCGCAGGATGGCGATCTCATAGACAAGCTTTCTGGATCATGTACTTCGTATATCCGTACGAATACAGATAATGGTGGGGGGGTTTTCTCTCTCTAAATAGCGTTGCAACTCAAACATTCAGTGGTAGAATAAGAGTCGTTTCTTTAGGAGCTCGAGTAATTTTCCCAGGAAAGATGGATGCCTCTCACTTACACCGGCTCCCTGAGCTCGGTATCGATAACTGTACCCACAAGCACATGTCCCAAGCTGCATGCATCCATCGCGACACTAGTGTGGTGCTGAATACTAACGACATCTTGGCTCCGTCAACTAAATCCGTGCTCCAGTCCCGGCACCCCGGAAGATGGGAAACACAGTTCAACGGACCTTGGCGGGCCCACGGTCAAATTCACTCGGCGTCCGGCACTCCCCCGCCGAGCCGGAAGCTAATCGAAACGGAGCCTGTCAACGGAAGGGCGCGCTGGGCGTCGGTGGGGCACATTGACTTTTGACATCCATTGATGACCTCGCTTTTCGCCTCTAACACCAATTCAATTTCTTGGCTCATCGCATAGTCTTCATTCAAGAAGAGCACAATCCCACTGAGAGACAAGGCTGTCGATTCTTCGCATTATTCACCGGAAAGCTCAATCCAAGCCAATACTCGCCGTCATGTCAACAACCACAACAACAGCAACGGCATCAGCCTCAGCCTCCACCTCAGGCATAGAACTCCATCCCCTCCCCGCCAACGTATCCCAAAAGCCCTCCCCCTTCACATCCACATCCCAGAACGTCGACGACGCCACAGATCCAATCCTCCAAGCCTCCCGCGAAGCAGACTCCACCGTCCCCGAAGGCGGCTACGGCTGGGTCGTCGTGGGGGGCTGCTTCGTCGTCGCCTGGTGGATCATCGGCACCTCGTACTCGTGGGGCGTCATCCAGGGCGCCCTCATCGAAGATGGTCTCGGCACGCCCGCCGTGCTCTCGTTCGTCGGGTCGCTGGCCGCGGCGCTCATCTCGGCGTTGGCTATTGTCAACTCGCGCATCATGAGGCGGATCGGGCCGAGGAAGACGGGGTTATTGGGGATTTCGCTGTTGGGGGTTAGTGAGTTGCTGAGTAGTTTCGCGGTCAAGAATGTGGGCGCCATGTTTGCAACGAGCGGTGTCATCATGGGCCTGGGAATGAGGTACGTCGTCCTTTCGTGAAGCTTCATTGCGAATTTTATATGCTAACAAATCGTCAAGCTTATGTTTCACGGTGAGCTGAGCTCCTCAAACTAGCCCAATGCTTTGAGCTTTTTTGCTGACGAGATTATACAGATCGTCTCTGTGGTCCCGGCACAGTACTTCAGCCGCAAGCGCGGCCTTGCCAATGGCATCGTCTTCGCCGGCGGTGGTCTCGGCGGCGCAGTAAACAGCTTCGCCCTCGACGCCCTCCTCAACCATCTCGGATCCGCATGGGCCTACCGCGTCCTTGCCCTTGTCACCCTGGCCACTGGACTCCCAGCAGCATGGCTCATCAAAGAGCGCGTTCCCGTCCGTAACACTGGCTTCGTCGAGTGGTAAGAAGCCCTCTTTTCCCGTTCTCGCCATGATCTCCAAGATGGAACATGTATCAGCCACTAACACAGAAATGCAGGCGTCTCTTCAAATCCCTCACTTTCGTCCTTGTCTTCCTAGCCGGCGCAGTCGGGACCTTCCCCCTCTTCGTCCCTCCCTTCTTTCTCCCCCTCTACTCCAAATCCATCGGCCTCTCCTCCTCGACGGGCGCCGGCCTGGTAGCGGGGTTCAACTTCTCTTCTGCCATCGGCCGCATCTGCTGCGGTGCCTTTTGCGACGCATTTGGCGCGCTCAACGTGCTCTTCGTCTCCCTGTTCCTGTCTGCGGTCAGTATCCTGGCCATTTGGCCCGTCTCGACGTCGCTCGGTCCCATGGTTGCCTTTGTCATTATCAATGGCGTCTCGAACGGTGGTTTCTTCTCGACTATGCCTACGGTGGTCGGGAACACGTTTGGATCTGCGAGGGTCTCTGTCGCTATGAGCATGATTGTGACTGGATGGGCAGGCGGCTATCTCATGGTGAGTTGCACAATTTCAATGTTGGCTACCTTTCAAAAGTATGGTACACTGATGCGGTCGACGTAGGGCTCGCCGATTGCCGGATATCTTCTTGAAGCCTATGGCGGCGCCGAGGGAGGTCTTCAAGCGTACCGTCCGGCCATGTTCTACGCTGGCTCTCTGTCATTGGCGGCGGCTGGCCTAGTCGCCATGGTCAGGTTCCGCATAAACAGCAGGATCTTGGCAAAGATTTGAGAATGACGTGAATGGCAACGTCGCTGTTGCATAGCACCCTGTACCAAAATTGTAGTAACACGATGGAAAGCATGTTTCCAGATTCATCACCAGTAACCTCCTTCCAGGACAGGCGTTGGCCGAAAGTCCGGCCGGATGAACAGTACTCATAGACACCGTAGACCGGCCGGCCGGCGAGTGATGCAAAGGGGCGGTGAATGTGACATCAGCCTCTACCGTCTCGTATTCATCGAACCCTTGATTCACGCAAAGACACCAGACTCTCAGCAGGCACCCGTGAAAACTTCCTGGTATCTCTTCACTCGCCATTCGTCCAAACTTATCTTCCCCGCACGATCCACCTCAGACAAGGCGAGAATCATCGGCCCCGGCGCAGCTGCTGCCTACGCGGCCCCACTTGGCGCCTTCAGCCCGCCGATAGCCCCGGGCGGGGATCTCCCGTGTTAAGATACAACAGCTTCCCAAAGTCCATCCTGAACAGGCAACGTTGCTGACAGACATGATCTGAATGCGCAAAGATAGCAAACATTCTCGTGCGCCTTACCCAGCAAACCTACTATCCTAATTGCTTGGCATCGGTAGCTCCCATCTGAGTCAGACCGGCACGACTCTAGTGTAACTCCTGTGCTCCTCCTAGACCCGGCGGCTGCTTGCGGTGATACCTGGTCCCCCAATTCCCCCTTCTTGCACGTGTACTCGCGCCTCATTCGCGCCGCAATTCCAAGACGGAACTTTCCAATACCCGCGAACTAGTCCACGCGATAACGTGTAGAGAGGGAAACCGCCATTGTCTACAAAATACCCCGCCAACCTCCCCTCCTCTCTTCTCCTCCTCTACTATCAAAAGCTTCAACCCAATACGAACATACAAATCCGACAATCTTGTCTCTCTCATCCCTTAATACACATAGTGCGTACTCGTCCACTACACTCAACATGTCCATCGATCACATCGGCCTCTACGTCCCCGCCTCAATCTACAAGGAAACAGTAGACTGGTACCTCGCCGCCCTGGCCCCCCTCGGCTTCAAAAAGTTCGTCGAACCAAACGAATACGCTTGCGGCCTCGGCGTACAACGGCCCGATTTCTGGATCGCCTGTCACCAGGTCGACAAGGCGAATATCCCGCTCCACATTGGCTTCAAGGCGGATAGTAAGTTCTTCACTATGTACTTGGTGGCCGGGAGTTCGTAACGCTATAGAAGGTTTTGGCTGATCATATACCCTCAACATAGACCGCAAAGTGATTGACGAGTTTCACAAGGCTGCTCTTGCGGCGGGGGGGAAAGATAATGGGGCGCCTGGGTTGCGGCCGCAGTATCATCCCGACTACTACGGCGCATTTGTGATTGATCCTTCGGGGAATAATGTCGAGGTTGTCTGCCACATGCCGGAAGCGACAGAGTAAAAGATCGAGGATGGGGTGCTTGGTGTTTCATTCCACCGCGAGGTAATGGCTTTATGATATCAACATGGGAGAGCCTTCCGTTCCGAGCAGGGCTGGAATGGTCCATGGACACATCTTTCGCGATAAGAAGCTAGTTGTCGTTCAGCCTAATGTGATCTACCAATGCGCTTCGAGAGAGATAATACAGTCGTTCTTGCTTCCATGAGAATTGGCGGGTTACGAGGCCAAAAGAGCTTGAGGTGGGCCATAAAAAAAACATTGCTCATACGCGTGCGGCAGTTGTAGAGAACATGAATCTTTTGATTTTGTCACATGATACGACCTGCAGATACACTGCATTTTTAACCCATCCCGAACTTTCATCGTCTGCCCATTTTCCCTTCCACCCACTGGTACAAGCCTAGCCACACATCCTCTTGCGCAGCTATCATTACATAGCCAAGCATAACACCACAACCAAGAAAAGCCAGCCTTGGGTTACAATTTGCTTCAGCATTAATGAAACGTGCCATTCGATCTGTTTTAACCATTCTTACGATCGCCTTGGTGATATAGGCCATACTTACACTGCCTCGTGTCGAGTCGAAGGCATCGGGAGCAGCAGCTGACACATCCGAATTCTTCAGTTTTCCTAGCTAAGGAAAGCTGTCTATGAGCCATAAACGCCCGATATGCTAGCCTTTCTCGTACCTTTATCTCAGCACCCATGAGTTCTCACTTACGAAGGATGTACAACATCCTCCGCCAAGTTTTCGAAGTTCCATCTCTGATGACGGTGCGTACCGAATTACTTTACCTAATAACGTCCTGAATCAACCCAGTACTCTCTTACGGTGACTTCCCTTCGTCTTGATTCGACTTTCTAGTCACCATCCAATTCAGGCATCGCAAAATCCCCAGGCGCAAACAGGATGATACGGCGGCCCAGGGTATAGATTAATCTACGGGATGAGGAGTCTATCAAGACAACGGAAGTCACCTGAAGGTCAGTCACTACCTCTATTCAGCCCCCGTTCAAACAGTGGCGCAACTTTGCCATTATCACGCGTTCACTGCATTCCTAACTCAACCTGTGTGGATAAGCCCACGTCCGTCATGCATAGCCCTTCAACAACCCTCGGCCTTTTCTTTGCTCTGTCCTTGCTCAACGTTAGGCTTGGTAGGAACCAGAAGACGCAGATGGTACTTCCTTGGCCTCCCTACCATCTCATCGTAGAATTTGGGTGAAAAAACTCTCAAATGCTCATCACAAATCAGTCAACGACAGCAGTTCCCAGCTTCCAATTAAATTTCTCGTACTCAGGACATTTCATTATGCTCGCCATCTATGTCAGTCTCGGAACACCAAACGCCTTGTCCCAAGTATGCCCGCGCAAAGTCTAGAACGTAGCGTAGCGTGTAGTGTAGCCTAGTCCAACCCCTGCCCGTTCATCACAGAACCCGTCTTCCGTCTTTCGTCTGTCTGGTTGCCCATGTACAGCTCGCGCGCGAAATCCACCACTCGTAATGAGATCAACGTATGAAGTCGCCTTCAAATGCGCTCCACCAGAACTTGCAATATAATACCGCCCACGAAAACTCCATACAGACCCGTTCTATCCGGGTATTTCAAGGAAAAAAACTGATCCATTCTCCTTGGTCATCGGTCCATTGGTCGCTCGACGTCATACCAAACACGCCCTGACGAAACGGTGCGCACCGTTCGCCTAAGAATTGTAATCTGCTCCGAGCCTCTGGTGCCTAGTCGGATGAGTAGATGTCCAATATCCCTCCCAAGCTCTGAGGTGCCAACGAGCCAAACGTATAAAAGTTGGTTCTACTAGGATGCGATGCTAGTAAAAGGTACCAGCAAGCCATAGCAGACCACTTCGACCCCAAATCAGCGTAGTTTAGGGTATCAATCTCATAGTATTGCAATATTGCAAATTTGCTTAGGAATCACCGCCGGTCACAGCAGCAGGGCGTGATCGCTGTGCCACCACTTCCCGCGCGTAAAACTCGACCAGCATGGTCGCGTACGCCTCGAGATCTTCGACGGGAACCGCTAGGCGGAAATCGTTCAACAGGAGGAACTGAAGCTCGAGATGGTTGAGTTCGGCTAACGGAAGACCACCGACCTAAGACATGAGAATGAGCACTGGGCGAGACAAATCGGTCAAGTTCAACCATTTACATACCTTGGCGTATCTGGAATTGGTGTAAAAGACGTCTGAGAAGAACTTGCTCGCGCAAGTTACGCCCGCAATGACCAGTCTATGGATATTGAAGCTGTCGACAACAAAGTACGTAGCCGCCGGGGGCGCGCCAGGAGGTGTCGGCTGAGGTACAATGCTACCGGTACTCTCGCTCGTCTTGGTGTTCTGTTCGTCCGCATCGTCATCGTCGGCAAGATCCGAATCGGTTTCGTCGTCCTCGTCACGCATTTCGACGTCGGCCGACTGTGCCTTTGGAGTTGACTGCGAAGTAGACAACCTCCGCGCCTCCTCGTGCTTGACCACCATCTCATTGACTCGCTCCGTCATGCGGTCAAAGTAGACTAGCAAACTCAAAAAGACCTCATAGGTGGTCGGGCAGTATTTGTGAATGCGGGACAAGTAGCTCAGAATTGTGATAGCAGGGATGTTTTTGCCATGGAAAGCAAGCACAGACGTGCTCAACGGGCTCATTTGCGAGCCATTGCCTGACTCGCTGTTCTGGCTCGCCTGCTGCTGATGCGCAACGTTGCGCTGCATGGCATCATGCTGCAGGTCGTTGGTGGTGGTGATCTTGGTGAGAAGGGCAGCGACCATTTCAATGATGTCGCCAATGGGCATCGCACTGATCTCGTACTTCATCGCCTGCAGCGGCGGATCGTTCAGTATCCCCGGCCCATTACCCGATAATAGGTCGGCCTTAGCGAGACTCTGGATATGGGCCAAGTCGCGAATGTGAATTGTCTGTCCTTGGGGTTGCTGTACGGGAGATGAGGCATCGGAGAGAGGGTATGAGTTTGTGGCGCCGGCAACACCATTTCCATCGGATGCGGGCGAAGGTTGCTGGGGTTGCGAGTCTTGGCTAGGAGCGGGGTGAGCCTGTTCAGAGGCGACTACGGAACCAGCATGGCCGGCATCGCGAGAGTCGGTTGCCATGTATGCGGGGCTATCAGCATGCTGGGGCCTGGCACCTGTTGGCGACGAAGATGATGGAGGCGAGGGGAAGCGAGATGCACCTGCGCTAGGGGGCGCGGGCTTCTCGGCCGAGTCTTGTTCGGGGCGCTTTTGACGCGTGGACGGGGCGCTCGTAGAATGTTGGTATCTCGGGCTCGCAGATGCGTGGTGTGCAGGGACGTCTCTTGACCGACTTGAGGATCGGTAGTGAGAATCGTGCGAGTGTTGGTGTTGAATGCCCGGGTTGGCAATCATGTTATGGAAACGGGAGGGATCAGAGACGTAGTCACCGATTACAGCTGCCATAGCATCGTATTATTCCAGCAAGACTGAATTACAATTAGGATGGTTGGAACAGGCAACTGCAGGAACGACGAGTTAGCATCATGTCTAAATTGCATCTTGTGGTTTGCGTTTATACGAGGCCAAAGTAGTATTGGGGCAGCAACGGTTGCCGTGTGATGACATTGGCGCCCAAGACTCCCGACCGAGAAAACGAGCGCGGCACAAGGCCGATTTTTTCGAACCTCAGGCTGACTCAAGAGCTTGTGCGAGGGCGGTGACGTGAGGCAAGAGCCGTGATCGTGGGGAAGGAGAAGGGGAGTGCGTATGGGCAGCGGAGGGTGGGCAAGCAAGGCTGAGTGTTTGCACATGCAGGTCAAGGCATGAGAAGGGCAGCTCGATGGCAGATGAACAGCCGGAATCCACCAGCAGGGAAACAACGACACAGACAAGCGTGCTGAGACCACAGCCCAACGTCTTGATCGTGATGGCAGCAGCCTTGGGTGCAGAGCTGATGGCAGCCGTGAGCATCGCGCGCAGGCTCGAGCGACGTCACAGGGGCGCCTCTCATTGCCAGGACGAATCAAGTGAAGTGCGACATGGGTTGTAGGGAAAAGGCAGGGAAGATGGAGAATCGCCGAGGCGGAAGGCAAGACGGAACGAACTCACCTAAGTCGTCCAACAAAGAGGCGGAAGGGCCTGTCGACAGGCGATGGATCTACTAGATACTGAGTCTTTGGGTAGAGAGGCGGGAAGGTCGACGCGATGAAGGGGCAACGGTGTATCTTTGCCGCGGTCGCAGGAAGTATTCGTCGGAGATAGCAACGAGGTGTCGAGTGCGAAAAGGTCGTAGGTAGACAAGGTCTAGTCGGATCGGGTCGAAGGGCAGTAGGCTCACAACGAGACGCGTTAGGCCTGACAGAGACGGTTGGGTGGTGTCGAAGGAGGCGGCGATGGCGACCTTTTGGCGGAGCAGGAATCTTGAGGCGGTAAGAGGGCTCGTCCGACTATGCGACTCGAGAATCTGTTTCTGTTCTGTTTCGCAGAGCGTCTGCGATGTCGAGTACCAAGAAACAATCAAGGTACCGATGGAGGGGGGAGTCGGCGAGATCAAAGGAAGAGGAAGTCGTCGAAAGAAGCCCCCCTTGTTGAAAAGACGTCCAGTCTAGAGGAAGGACGAGACAAGCAAGAACAGAACAGCAGACGGGGGGAGGAAAGGAGGAAGAGAGAAAAAGGGTCGGAGGAGAGCGGGTTGGACGGGTGTGTGTGGATGGATGGATGGATGGTGGATGAAGGATGAATCGGGGGAGAAGCTGGCGTGGGTTGGCAAAATGGGCGACGGGTAATAGAGATGGGGGGGGGGGGATGGGAAAAGAAGAACGGCGGGAGGATTTGGGCGCGACGGCGGCGGCGGTGGGTGGCAGGCGGCAGGCAGGTGGGTGGCCCTTTACTGCGCAGGAGCGATGGAGGGGGAAACTTGGTGAAGGCAGGAAACAGCGCTCAATGCTTAGGTACCTGAGCAGCGGGACCTTAGAGGGACGGTAGAGGGGGCAGCGGGCTGGTGGAGAGAGCGCTGGAGACGCAATGGCCGATGGACTGGGCCTGGAACTTGGGGAGTGGATGCTGTTGTTGTTGAGAATGGGCACCTTGCTTCACCTATCTGGATGAGATATCGAGTAAAGACGATGGTATCAGGTCATGAATGTGAGTTACTTGTGTGGCTTGGTTGGTCTTTACTCGAGATGTATGAGAAGGGAAACAGCTCTCTTACTTTTGTGACCTGATGAGAGAGGATAGATACTCAGAGTGAGGTGAGTGAGATGGTTAGAGGGGGACCCTTGATGAGATTGGCGGTCTGGTGGAGACGGATGAGGTAGATGGCAAAAAGATGACCGCCAGAAGGCTCAGCTGGGTTAAGTCGATTCATGGATGAGTGGATGAGAGAGCATTGAGAGGACCTTACCACCTGTTGATGTGTAGCAGCTCCCCAAATGACGGCACACTGCACAGATGCATCACTCCAGACTCCAGACTCCAGACTCTCTCCCTCAGACTGTTACACTGTAGACTGTTTCCGGACTCCAAACCGTCTGTCGCTCGTCACTCATGGTGGCTGACGGGTTCAAAAGTAAGTAGTGCCGTGCAGCGAACTGTTCCATTTTCATTACAGCGCAGCGCAGCTGGCAGCATGCACGCTCAGTTGCGATGCCACGGCCGTGGTTCCCCGCGTGTCTTGGATCCGCGCATGAGTTGTCATTCACAGGCATGTGAGCTTCACTCTGAGATTCACTCTAAGACTCGGTGAGAATTCAGTGAGCAGTGAGTGAGTTATTCTCAGCAATGGAAACCCAAGTCTTAAAACTCTCCACTCATCACCTCTTCCGTCTTTGCTCGAAATCTGCAGAAGGTCTACCTGTACAGCTAGTGACCATCATGAATCTCATCTTGACTGATTGTCTCACTGCATCTCGTGTGGCGGCATGGCAAAAAAAGATGAGGAGCCACCCGAAACATGACATGACAGAAGCCCGCGCTAGCCACCAACACCCGACTGTGCCACTCCCACGAGCAAGCAAGCAATGGAAGGCAAGGTAAGGTGAGGTAGCAGCCACTCACAGCTCCCGCAACAGCAACAACACCCGTCACCTGTGGGCCAAGAAATCCAAGGGTCCTCCGTGCCTCCCAGGCTGCCCCCCGAATCTGGATTTCTGCTCGTGCCATCGTTGCAAGTCGGAAACTCCCAGTTCCTAGTCGGCGGGCCCAACCGAATCAAGCACAGCCTCATTGCGATCCTGCTCTCGCCATTTTCCATCCATGATCCAGCTCTCACTCTTCTCTTGCTCTCTCTCTCTCTCACTCTTTCGTCCCTCGCGCCGAGGTCCTGAGGCTGGAGCTTCACCTCGACATGGACCTAAATTGCGCTCCTCTCCAGCCGCAACCCCACGAGCCCCGGTCCTTGCTTAAGCATTCCCGAGCAATCCCAACTTGGGGAGTATCAAAGTCTCCAACATTTCCCGATGGGATGGATGGCTGCCCAACGAATACTATTCTCGCCACAGAGCAACTCTAACCTCTGCCTTGTGCCTCAGACCTTGAAAGGCTTGGATGCTTCCCCAGCCCGCAGCCGTGCTTCAACTTCGCCTCAACAGAGACTGACTGACCTGACAGGTCGCACTCGCAGCACGTTCAAGCAAGTTGGCAACAGCCTCGAGTCGGAGCGTCTGCATAGAAAAACGCAAAATGAAAAGAAATAATAGAGAGAGCGCTTGCAACAGACGGCGGACCACTGGAACTGACACGCGGCGGAAAGACAGACGACCCATCCGCATCGTCGGGAGGAGAGGGTGTGCCCATGCCCTTCTCCCATTGGTCTCTCAGATACGCGATACCGCTGATAAGAGATTTGGCGAGCAGGGGGCCACCTGAGCCCGGCAGGGGAACCTGGAACCTCGACTTTTCGACACTTTCACCCCCTGGCACGTTCTGCCGTTCTGATGTCTTATCGGATAAGATAAGGTACGTATCTTCCTCTCCTCCCCTCTCCCCTCCTCTCCGCCCGCCAGCCCTGCCACCTCCCTTTCTGGCCTGAGGTGACCTGAACACCCAATGGAACCAATCGAGTAGCAGTAAGGTACCTACCACAGTAAGATAGATACCTGGGTACGGAGCATTCGCATCGTAATTCCAATCGCCAATTGCCTGCCGTAATACGACACGCTGGACCCGAGATGCCTTCCAGCTCCACCAAAATAACTGCAGCATGCAACTTTGGCCATGGCACAAAATGGATCTCGGAGGAAACATCGACAAGCTTCTCCCATTTTACGTACTGCAAATTCGCAAACACCGCGCAGTGGCACTCCATGCCCCTCTGGTATCCTGGATTTCTATTCCAGTATCCCCCGCTCAAGTCCCGGCCGAATCTGGACCTCACTCCCGTCCAAATCAAGCAACATCGTCGTTGTTGACTCCATAATCGCATAGCCAGCCACGCTCTCCCCATTATTTCCCCCTTTCCACAGAGTATCGCACCCTTTCAAAAAGAAAGCTGTCTCGGGCTCTGACAATGGACACGGAGGCCACGGCGACTTTGACGACCGGTCATTTCGGGGCTCAGAAAATAGAAACAGACCGGCCGTCGTTCCTGGTCGCCTACCTATCCCAGGTACCCGCCGGGCCCGTCCAACGCGAGATACCTGTCAACACCGACCGAATGTTGACTAACGGCACATGAGACGACCAAATGCCCGCCGGATTGTTGCATTCGCGCCAAAGGGTTGTCTGCTGCTTACACCGCTAGCAATCTACAAACACTCAGCTGGCGCTATCCCCACCTCCTGACACCCATTACCTACCTACTACACTAAGAGTAAGATACCTTATTCAACGGCAATGCCCATTGCCAATACCAACACGGCCAAAAGGGGCAACACAAAAACAAGCTTTCATCATCATCCATCCCACGCCCAGCTGCTCCCCAGCAGTAGCACCACCACGGCACCAAGGGCCTTGTACGATGTTGGCTGGCCGGGCCCCCCCCCCTTTCCCCCTTCCAAGACACCTTGACGCCCCCCCGGGGCCTGCACGGATGGTGACTCCCGGCCAATACCCGGCGTTCCCTCCGGCACGAGGTCTTGGGATCTTGGGGTTTGTTTCCAAGAAATTCCCCCATCTATTAATCAACACTACTCCATACCTTATGGATAGGTACAACACACATAATGAGGCCTTCACCGCAATACCGCCCCGGCCCCCAGGTACGGATACCCTAATGATCAATCTGGACGGAGCAAGGCATATCGCGCAATCGCCAGATATTGCAGCCCATGGCAGCCATCGTGGCACACCCGCAGCCCACAGCCCGACAGCCCCGTCCCACGTTCCTATCCACCGCCCTTCCATGACCTTTCCTAAATCGTTACCGACGGCCAACGACTTGCTATCACCCTTCCGTCATCATTCTCCAACTTAGTCATGCACTTGACTTGCTCGTACTCCGTATGTTACAACTTGGATGGCTTTGCTTCGTGTCGACCGGGTACTGTGTAGTCGATATTCTCTCTCAGCGTCAAGATTCCTAAGAACCATACTGCGTACTCAACTTCCGGATACCTTTGCCTAAGTAACACACTATGCCATCAAGCGTGCCTCGGGTAGACAAACTCATCTTTAACCTCACCTACAGGTTAAGCTAACCTACACAGCACCATCACATCGCAAATCCTCCAACGAGAAGCTAAAGGCACCTCCCGCCCCCGTCCTCCCCCGCACCCGCCGCTGATTTGTTCCCGCTCATCACTCACCATCCCGCAGAACCGAGCAGCGCTAAGTCCCCTTCCTCCCCCATACCATCCCTCACCGCCTCCGAATCCGAGGCTTCGACAGTGATAGCGACAGTGACACTCTGACACCCCTTATTTCTTTTTAATCTATTATGTAGGTAGTCCGTAGAGTGACTGTGCCGTCCTCCCTGCATCGTGCATACGGGTGGCAGCGTTCGCGTGCCGGCATCTCCTTCAGTCACTCCCTACCAATGCCAGGACTTAAACTTTTAAATTTTTACCTTACCCCCAGACTCTTGTTCTCTCCCCCGTCCGTTGTGGCGTTGCAGCGCATCGCACGCAATCGCATCTTATCATATCGACCACGCGAACTACCCGTACCTACTCCCGTTCCGTGCTGTGTGTAGTACCGTACGTTATCGCAATCTTCTGGGGTGTCACAGTGTCACAGCCCATGGAGTAACCCCCAAGCCTCTCGTGAAGAAATCTCGTCTTGCGGGTAATCTATTTATTGTACATTCATCGTTTGTCGCCAAGCCCGAGATCTCGTCCCGGCATGGAAGTTCTTCGCTCTGTCTTCTCTCCTCGGGACTCGGGGGGCAATTTCGTGACCGCGGGCAAACTAGCCTGTGTGACGTCTTGCTGCTCATCATGCCCGGCCGGTGTCGATGCAGGCGACCAGTTGGCTTTCCTCAAGCCACATCACAATAAACGTCTCCCTTTGTCTGCCTCTTCCTCTGGCTTTCCCACATTCAACTGCTCCCACCTAGTGCTGCACTTTGTAGTCCTCGTCGGGGAGGTACAGATGCCGCACGGCGCCCTTGGCGGTCAGGACGACCATGCGAATGACACCACCAGAGCTGCCATCCCACTTGATGGCCTCCTTGAGCGATCCTTTGACAAAGTCGACGGCCTCCTTCTCCTCCATGCCCTCCTTCCAGTGCTCGTCACAGTATCCGTAAATGTACGTCGAACCCGAGCCGCCAATGGCATATGACTGCTTGTGTAGGGATCCGCCGAGGGGGATGGAATAGACCTGGCCGCCGTGTCGCTCGTCCCAGCCGGCAATGATGAGACCGGCGCTGTGAATCGTTTCGAGTTAGTTTTCATCCAGATGCTAGCGTCCCTGTGTCCCATGGTCGCTCGGAGACACTTGCGCGAGAGCAGAAGGCAAGAGAACTTACGTCAAGCGATCCTTGTTGGCGTAACAGACCTCCTGGAAGATGGCGGCGGCGGTCTGGGTCATGGGAGGCTTTCCGTTGCGCATGGCGTACAGGCCGAGCTGGTACTGGACAATGTCGGCGACGGCCTGGGTGTCGGCGGCGGAGCCTGACCGGCAGCACCAGATGGTGTCGTGGACTTGTGTGAGCTTGTCGGTGACTCGGTTGGCAATGTAGGCGCCCGTCGTTGTTCTGGAATCAGCACCTAGATGGAGTGACTCGTCGTCAGTTGTACGTTCCTCGTATGGTCACTGTTTGTTTGCCCCTCCAAAAGTGACCAAAGTATACTGTGGCCGCCGTGGGGGCGTATGCGTTTGGGAAGACATGTATGGGTAAATCTGACGTACCGAGAATAACACCGTCCTTGAAGGTGACTGCCATACTATCGCGAGGTGTCAGATGTATGCGGGAGGGGAGGGGCGATCGGAGGGGTAGCTTACATTGAGGTTCCGAGGCTACGACATAGGTTAGCTGTGGTTCTGTGGGAGACCGAGAATGTAGTATCTTCACTCACTTGACCTCTCCTTTCTTTAATCTCTCCATGTCGATGTGAATGCCGTCTGTCCGCCCGCAATCATCAGCTTCAGTGTTCCGTTCTGGGGTGTGTGGTCCCGCAATAGCATCATCCAAGCTTCTGCCCGCCCGTACCTTCGTTCAGCTGTCCGGTGGTGGTGAACTCCATTTTGATGACTTATGTGTGGTGTGTATCTCGTTACTTCGTGTGAAAATTCGTTTTGTCGAGGATTGGAGGTCGGAGGGAGGGGGGAGGATTCGGCGTAGATACCGAAGGGGGGTGGATTGGTTTGATGTGTCGTCGGTGGAAGGCTGAATGGAGCTTAACGAAGCTCAGGCAGCTCCAGAACGCGTTGGCCTTGCCCGCCCGGGACGATTGGATGGGCCACGTGACTGCTGACATAATCAGTCATTGGTGACGCGCGCAACGATGCCATGCGCATTGGAAGATACTGAGCTGATTTCAATTCAACGAAAAATGTGATCGTTTAACAAAATTCATATCCTTTTACGGAAAATTCATCTTATGGCTTGGCTGTTAGGGTCACAGTATCACCCTTTCAATAGCTGTTCAATGCTATTCCAGAGAGGCCCACGTGAGGACGATAGCTTCTGGGATGGAGATTCTGCCACGAACCATAGAGACTGGCATGTGAAATTTAACCCCAATATAGACGATTTCCGTTCCAACACAGATCAGAGCAAATGCGTCCAAACCTTCAAACTCAATTTGTTCCGCTGGATCCGGTGGTCATCCACAACGCCAGCCCAGGAAATGCATCTTTGTACAGGTATTCTTGTAGATATGGTACAACAGTCACGCGCCTCGGATATCCAAAACATATCGATCAATCAACACTTTAACCGCCCTTGGTCAGACTGCCATAATGTCAGCGAAAGAAGCTCCATGTAGAGCAATCCCAAAGTCATTGCCACAAGCAACATAACTCACCCGTCCTTGGCCAGCTCAGCGCTGGGCTTATCACCACCGCCCTCCGTCTTCTTCTTATCCTCATCGCCGCACCCACAGTCGTAAAAGTCGCCAATCTTGTTACAGTCAAACAGCTCCTTCTTCAACCGGGTGTTGACCTCGTTGTGTACGAAGCAGGCCCAGCCCGCGGCAGCGTTGCGGCTGCTCGTCTGGGGCGGGTACTTTGCCAGCAGCTTGCGGAAGTGGGAGGCGCAGTCGCCGCAGGGGTAGAGGCGGGCAAAGAGCTGGATGTACGTCTTGAGAGCGAGGCTGTCGTCGGGAGTGGGCTTCTCGGGGAAGCGGGCCATCATGGTGTGGAAGAGCTTCCACGAAGCGCGGCCGAGCTCGGCTCTGCGGGGAGGAGACTGTGTTAGCATAACCTTGAGAACCAGGAAGACCCGAGGGAACGGTCCTGGGATGTAGGTATCCTTCTCATGCAAGAGGGCGGGAGGCTTACTTTGCCGTCGCATTCTCCAACTTGGGCGCAATGGATTCGCCGGACAGGATGCTGCTCGAGATGTGGCCAAGATCGGGGGTGTCGCCGCTCGACGACACGGAATCGCCCTTTAGGGGTACGGCGGCGGCCGGGGGCGCGGGGGATGAGGGTTCGCTGGTGCCGCTCGAGAAGAGGTAGGAGATGCTGAAGAAGGCGACGACGGCCAGGAGGACCATGAGCGTGAGGTGTTGTCTCCGCGCCATGGTGGGCGATTGGCTGTCGCTTAACTCTTTGGGGACGAGTTTGCGAAAGTCGAAGTATGCGCAGAGGTAAGTGATACGGTCGGTAGAAGGTAACAAAAGGGTGGAGGAAAGGACTGAAGAGAAGAAAGAATCTCCCGCAAAAAGGAGGATGCGAAACCTCGGACGGAAATCGCGTCGTTCTGGCAGCTTTTTGGTTAGGTTATCTGAGCTGACCAGGGCCAGGAAGAAACCCTCCCCAAATAATCACCGACGAGGAGGGGAGATTCGGCGAGGGACGACAGGTTCGACCAGGGGGGTGGTTCATCTTTCAGACTTTCAGGAAGCTAAGGGGACATTTGGTCGGCCCACGGCGCAGGGGTTGTCAGACGAGGCTATTTTGCTGCCGCCAATCCCGTCGCCGCAGTTTGAGCGTAGTGCCACCTGTCGCATGGCCCCTGGCGCAGTCCGCCGCAGTGGTGAGATTTCATAGCACATGGATGCCCCCCAAATTGCTCCAGATGCTCCAAATGGCCCCCCAAAATCCCATCTCTCAGAGCCCCAGAGGTGTCTCCTCATGTTGGGTTAGGTTCCCCTCCAGCTCGCTCCAAGATTTGCTTATCTAATGCCACCGACGGTAGGGGTCATGGTCGCTGACGGTCGCTGATTGAATCGGCCCAGCCCTGTGGGATCCCAGGCCCGTGCAGTGTGCTACCCCTTAACTTTGATATTCGGGCCCACTCCACTCCCCTAACGCCTGGCAGCGGCCAGGGGTGCCGGCGACCTTCCCGCCCGCCGTCTCCAGTAAGGTACCTTAAGGTAAGCTGCAATTGCCAATTGCACGTTCAAAGGTACAAAATCCACTCATTTTAGCCTCATGAAAATGCAGCTATCTACTAACCAAAGCAATTCGCTCCACCAGATGTTCCCCGGATGACTCATTTTCTCAGCCTCAACTCTAGATATCTCATAAGAAACTCAATAGCAACCTCATTCTCAGTTGATTCCATACCAGCATACTACAATCTTTTTGAGTCTCCATTGTGAACACAAATCTCAGCATTTCAGCCAGCGTACCTTCTTCCATATTACACCACCAACCACCACAGCAAACATGGCATCCCCCATCTTAATCATTGTAGCCTCTAAGAACCCCGTCAAAGTTCAAGCCGCAAAACTCGGCTTCGAATCAGCCCTCCCAGACGCAACCTACACCGTCCGCGGCATCAGCGTCCCCTCCGGCGTCCCAGACCAGCCCCTCACCGACGAAGAGACCCTCCGCGGAGCCCTGAACCGGGCCCGCAACGCCCGGGAGGTCGAAAAGGACGCAGACTACTGGATCGGCCTCGAGGGCGGCATCGACATGCCGGCCGACCAGAGCGCCCCCATCATGAACTTTGCCTGGATTGTCGTCATCAGCCGCGACGGACGCGTGGGCAAGGCAAGGACCGGCGCGTATTACCTCCCCGAGGAGAGTGCTGCGCTACTGCGCCAGGGCATGGAGTTGGGGCATGCGGATGATTTAATCTTTGGCCAGACGAACAACAAGCAGAGCAAGGGGTCTGTTGGCATGTTGACGGATGGTGTCATTGATCGGACGTCCTACTATCACCACGCTGTCATTCTAGCTCTGATTCCCTTCAAGAATAAGAATCTGACGTTTGCCTGAATATCTGGCGCAACTCTTCCAGTATTCTGATGTCTCCTTTGGTCTCTCTCAACAGTTGATACCGAGGCACATGAGATGTGCAGAGAACGTAGGCTCAGCTGGAAGCTATCGTCCGGTTCTGCATACACTAGAGATGATCCTATCAAGTTCCAAGGATTCCAACGCACCAGACTCGGCCGACCTGATTGCAATCAATCGCTCCTGGGGCAGGCCAGCAAGGCCTGCTCTTGCCCTTACTCAAAGGCATTATCTGGTAATTCCTACCAGCTACTTAAACGTCTTACTGCCTGTAACAGACACCGCATCTCATCTTTGCGCGAAAGAATCTTGTTGCATCGGTTACACTCGATTACGACCTTCTGGGCGCCATTCACTGGAAGGTCTGTCGACCGCTTAGACTACATATATCCAACCATAGCAGTTTTCTCCTCTGTGAACGCTCAATCTCGCGTTGTTTATTCGCCATCGAATCCTCACGTAGAACGTGCTTCCAAGGTTGAGGGACACTCATATGTCCGATGGTATTTCTTGGATTCTTTTAAACAAGTTTCTTTACAGATACAGTTGACGGAACCCCCGTATCTTTCTAGTCTCTTCAATTACCTTCTACTTACATGTGGCACGATCGTTCATCGGCTAGACATCCCAGTAAGTCCTGCTCACAAAACCGCTTTCTATGGAATCCCTTGAGTAGGTAGAGTTGGTCTTAGTCGATGACTGGAGTCCGACTCAAGGGCAAGCATTTACAGCTCAAGTCGTCAATCACTTGCTCCTTGTTTTCACTTAGAACCTTCGGAATAGCTTCGTGTATTTGGTGCTTTGTTCTCACTCAGCTCATCATCTCTCCCGCACCGTTTACCGTACGGTCCGTACATCAAGTGGTTAAGTTGATGAGTTCTTAAGCAAGGCCCACTTATTAACTATTAAGCCCGTTCTAGTCCTCGACACCAGTTCGCCCAAAGGGGGTCAATAACCATCTCTGGAGCCTTCTGGCAAGACCTGATCTTGACCCTGGCCAATGTGTCACTATCTCCTGGACTGCCCAGTCAGCACGTCTGGATTGACTACCGACTCTATCCTACCAGAATACTGCGTTCGTGAGGGCAATGAAAAGGGGTCTTCTGGCGGTCCATCTCGATATGGAATCCCTCTGCGCGATAATGTTCTCCATAGTGGCCGCGGCGAAGATGCCAGCGCATCTCATCTTTACGGGAAAGACATTTATTCAAAAGAGGATATCTTGGTATGGATTGTATAAGATGTTTTCTTTAAGCCCGCACTTTAACCCTCTTTGGCCCCTTCTGTGATCGCTCGCTCACGCTTAGTTTATTCGCTGGCGAATCGTCACATAGAATATACAGACCACAATTCTATGAAGTTTAGTAAGTTCTAATTTGACACTCCTTTGTTTAACTACCAGACTACCAAACCAGTTCCAGAGCCATTCCCAAGTCCTTCCCCCCCCCCCCCCCCAAATGACAATTGCTAGGGGCAATTCGAGAAGGGGCACCAGCAGGCCCTTCTCAATGTGGCACCTCTTTTTTCCATTGATTGCTCTCCTCTATGATCGCTTAGTCACGCTTTCTTTATTCTCTGACGAATCGTCACGTTAAATCTACTGACGAGTGTCTACGGGAAACCATATTAAATTCATCGAGTTCTCAGCTAGCACTTCTTTATTTAGCTACCAAACAAACTCCAGAACCATCCCCAAGTCCTTCCATCCTAAGTACAATCACTGGGGACAATCGAGAAGGGCCTGTTGGCGGCCCTTCTCAATGTGGACCCCCTTCTTTCCGTATCTTTTGCCGTAGTGAGTAAGGCGAAGATGCCAACGCATTTCGTCCTTACGCGAAAGAACTTTGTCGCATCGATTACATTCGATCGCGACCTTCTGGACGCCATTCACCATTCTCGGGAGCTCCTGGCAAGGGGGTCTTGGAGAGACCCTTCTCAGGCCATAGTGCTCGGGTTCAGGGTCTGGCGTTCCGTCGTTGAACTGACAATACTCAATGTTCCTGTTATGGGACCGTCTTCCATTTCTGGCCCGAGGAGCTTGAACGTTGGCGGCTGGCTGAGGGCTATTGTCCTGTGCGAGCGGGTCGGGAGCGGCGGCGGCGTCCTGGGCGTCGTCTTGCTGTAGAGGGGCATCCTCGTTGTGGTCATGATGGTGCTGCTCCTGCTGCGGCTGATCGAATGCGTGGTTCTGGTGGACATGGTGATCATGCTGCTGGTGAAGATCTTGGTCGTGATGGCCCTGTCCATGAATATGATATCCATTGTCTTGCGCGTACTGCTGGAAAGGCATCCGCTGATACTCCTGGCCCTCATTGTGCTGTTCCTCACGATACTGGAGCTGTACGTCCTGATAAGGTATCTCCTGAGCCTGCATGTCGACCATTTGCTGCCCATACTGCTCGAATCCCTGGTTGTTGTAATGCTGCCATTGCTCGTGCTCTTGAAGGAACATCGCGGGATCGCCAAAGTCGGGGAAGGGTGCAGGGATCGGGCCCAAGTCAGGGTGCGGGATGTTGAAGCCGTCCTGGAGCAAGTTGTCGATCTGGCCGGCGTGACCTGGCTGGATGTTCGCAGCGCCAGTCTGAAAGTCATAGATGTAATCGGGAAGCAGATCGTTGAAATTCGGGTGCGCGAAATCGCCTGCGGGAGCAACGTGAGGCTCACTGAGAGCGTTTCCGGCCGGCTGAACGGCAATAATGACCTGGTTCTGGAGCTCGGGGTCGATGGGAGCATAATGCTCGGCTTGGATGGCGTCATTCTGGCCCTGCTGAGAAAACGGTCCCTCGACAGCGTTGTTGGCTTGCTGGGGAAGCACGACGTTCTGGCCTAGGTGCTCGACATAGAACGGATTCTCGTGGGCGCCTTGAGCGGCCTCGTGGTAGTTGTCGTGAAGACGGGGATCCTCGATCTCGTTGTGGTCCGCCAGAGCCTCGGCCGGGTACGCTTCCTCGGGCCTATATTTCTAGCATCAGAAGAGGATATCTTGAGCGAGACTCGGGGTGAACTTACGGGACGTACTGGTAAGCACCAGCCATTCTGGCCCTGTCCGCCTGGTAGTACTCCAGGCGCTTGCGCTCCTCTAACATACATCATCAGCATCTCTTCTTGCACCTCAAAGCGACGGGGGGCCAATCTCCCATGGCCTCTGGGGCCGAGAGACCGGTATCTGGTAGCCAAGGATCGAGCTGCGAGGAGGGAGAAGAGGGTTCCTTTTATACCGCGATCGAGGTGGAAGCCTCAGAGGCAGTGAACTAGGGGCCCAATGCCCTCGACCAGAATTTTGAGGGGTCCAGAAACACTGGAATGAAAGAAAGGTTGGCAGACTTACCCTCATGGTACTGCTGGTCCATCTTGAATGGACTTTTTGATGTGGATGTGGAGGAGAAGTTTTGTTGACAAGGCTGAAAGGGAAAGAAAGCCCTTCATGACCGCTCGCCCCGCCTAGCTCTCGCCGTATTCGTTGTGGATAATATCATGGGCTACGGGATAGGGCGAGATCGAAAGGGGCGGGAGCTAGGAAGGGAAGAGGGGTGGACGAGAAAGGCAGCACGGGAGACAGAGGCAGCACGGGGAATAGAGGCAGCACAGGAGAGAGAGATAGCATTAAAGAAAGAGGCAACATAGTAGACCAAGACAGCACGAGAGAGAAAGACACTACAAGAGAAAGAGGTAACACAATAGAGAAAAATACTATAAGAGAGAGAGGCAGTACGGGAGATAGAGATAGTGAAAGAAAGAGAGGTATTATAAGAGAAAGAGATACTATGGGAGAGAGATTTAGCGTAAAAAGGAGAGATAGTACGGGATTAGAGGAAGAGACACTATAATAGAGAGAGGCAGCACGGGAGATTAAGATAAAACTAGAGAGACAACGCAAGAGAGAGCATTGAAGTTAAGGAGAGAGACGATATCAATGACGTAGTATACGAAAGGTAGCAACAGAGGGACTAGAAGGAAGAGGTGGTATAAATGAGATAGTATAAGCGAGACCGCACAAGAGAGATAACACAAGAGAGACAGCATAAGAGAGATATCATAAGGATAACATCGTAAGTGAGAGAAATAGCACAAGAGAGAGATAATATCAGAGAGGCAGGACAAGAGAGACAGCGCGAGAAGATTCCAGTACAGGAAAGGCAGTACGGAAAAGGGGCACGAGAAGGCAGCACGGCAAATGGGGAGAAAAAGACAGCATGAGAAATAGGATAAGATTTAGGAGAACGCAGAGGGCGAGAGCTTCCAAAGGCTGGTCCAAGGCAGTGAATAGCATCATTAAGCATAGGTAGCATAGCCTTACAGGGCGAGAAGTGGGAGGGTCGAGTGATTCTCAAGAGTGGGAGCCAGACAGGACTGTTGCCAGGCCGTGAGAAATCACATTAGATATGCAGTGGGTCTAGAGCAAGTGGCCGATCTGCCATGCCTTAACCTGAAGCCGATTTGAGGACTTGTTCGGTGCAGGAAGACCTATTCCCATGACAGGCAGAGATCATTTCGCAGGCGGCTGCCAGGTTACCAATCATATCATGAGCAAGATCGAGAGCTAGACAGCCATAAAGGACAATAATTGATGAGAAAGAAGGCTTTCCGAGGCTATAGCGAGGCGGTCATGACTGACAAGAAAATTCGATTCCTCTCAAATCCATAAAGTGCATCATGAGGCTTTGTATAAGCAGAGCAGTCTTGATGAGGGTGTGCAGGCAGTGAAAAACACATGGGGGCAAGGCACTTCGAATGGTGGGAGCTTGGAGAGCTGTTGCCAGACATCATCAGGTAATGAAAATTATCTTAGGGTATGGTCTAAAGTGAGCGCGAGGCGGGTAGAAGGATTCCGATGAGAGAGGGAGCTCCCGGAAACTATTACTAGGCAGTGAAAGTAATAGTTAGGCTTGATATTGAGACACTGCAAGGTCAAATTGAGAAGAATGGTCTCAAAGAATGGTAGCTTTCAGAGATGGTTGTCAGGCAGCGATATACCTTATGGATGGGACGGGCCGGGGAGAAAGAGGGAAATTTCTATCTCCCGGAAGTTCATCATTGGCACCGTCGGGCCCGGACTAGGGAAAGAGCTGTAACTTTGGAATGAGATTGATCTGGGTAACGGCTTTCAAAGATAGTTGTAAGCTTATTTGCATTGGTGAGAACTGCCATTATCACTTGCTTGTTTGTGAATTGCTGTATTAATAGGGTGAACAACTCTGGACAGGGCTAGGGAAATGAGTGCAAGATCCTGCAAAGAAACTTAGTAGAGAGGAATAGTTGGATGGGGGCAAGATAGAGATTCTATTCACCTGAAAGGGAATCGAATGGTCAAGTCCTTTCCAGGTACGAAGGTGAGTTGAAAGAGATCAGGGCACATCATGTTGAAGAAAAGTGGACATGACCTCGAAGGTTCGAGTCTGGGCTAGAAAGAAATGGTGTCTTGGAGTGAGTCAAAGATGATGATGATATCTCCTTTATTGATATGATGACATGAAGCTTATCAAAAATACACTTGAGATGCCTCTGTAATCCTGATGTTGCGATATTCTGTGGAGGATACAAGTACTATAGTAAGGTACCTATGCGCCATCCTGCAATTGGCTAATTTGACATGAGATGGATTTGTTGGGGCGTCTCGCCATTTGAGCTCATGAATGGATGAGACAACATCAAGAAACTCAAGAATAAATGCTCAAAGCAATCTTCAACGTGTATAGACGTCTCAATCAGCATGCTGTAGGAGTGTCGGTGTCAACAAGAACCCGGAGCGGAGCGGAGTGGCCTGGCCGAGTTTCAGTGGAGCAGCGCCGAGACAATCGGAACGGACTGTGCCGGAGACGGGAATGCAGCGCAGGGCCCCAGGCGGCAGATCAGCTAATCAAGTGGTCCTACCTTAAATCTTGGCAGGGCTCAAGAAAAGAGACAGGAAAAAAATTGGACGGGAAGCCGGATGGTCGGCAAGCTGGTGAGACCTTGTGTCACGCTTGTTCACCTTATCTTGGTTGTTGCCATCATCTCTCCACATAAGATTTGCGCAGATGCTGGTCTTCTTACGTACTGGTGGTCCCGGTGGGCGACTGCAGTACCTGTCATGCAAGGGGAGCGGCACAATGTTGACCAAGTCTTGCAGGTTTACTGTAGGGTAATAAGAATAGGCAAAGTTGGAAAAGGCTCGTGATGGTGAAACGCTGCGAGTGCTGGCGGCAGCATCCCGGACATGGCCGGCTATGGCGCATGGGAGCTTACTGTACTTTACCTTAGCGGTACTTCAAGGCTCAAGGCTCAAGGCTCAAGGAACTTATGCTTGCTGATGGCCGGAATGGGGGCTCGAGATTAGGATGGCAATTGGCTCAAGCTGGGCAGCATGACCCCGGCTTCGGCATCTTCTAGCCGCACCCTCGACGCCAAATCTTGGAGGGGGCCATGACGTCAGGCGCAGGCGCGAGTTGCATGTTGCTTGCGACGCTTTGTTGATCTTGCTGCGTTCTATGGTTCCGTATCTTATTCTTTTCGTATTGTGTGATGCGGAGTGGGTGTGTAGGTGCTCACTATGCTGAGATGTTGGCTCGGTTTCTCTCTCTCTCTCTCTCTCTCTCTCTCTCTCTCTCTCTCTTTCCCTTTACTCCGTACCCATGCCATGCCTCTAATGATGATCTGTCTGTACAGGGGAACAGAGGCTGAGGATATGAACAGGGGGCAGGGTCCCTTGTTTTTCGCAAAGAGTCCTAGTCTCTATTCGAACTATGCCTACACAAACGGAGTAGCTAGCTAGCTCGCGCAAGAGTCAAGGATCACGTCTAACCCGAAAGAGGGCAATTTTGATGGTTTGGACTGCGGCCTGTGATTTCCCTCGGACCCCGTCTCTGTTACCCCCCCAGCCCCTCGCATCGTCTTGTCTGTCTGGTCAGTGGTGGTGGTCTGGTCGTCTGAGTCTTTCTCTTTCTTCTCGCTCCATCCGGTTACCTGCCATTTCAAAGCTTCTTTTCTCTTTTTCCTTCCTCCAAACAACTTTCTCCTGCCATCGTCATATCTTGTTCTTTTGGATACCCCCTTGGCCGTCAGCATAGATACTTCTCCTTCAAACATAACAGACGAATAAGCGCCATCTACCTTACCTTACCTACCTAGTACCTCAAATCCCCTTGTCACCTCGGCCAGCGCATCTTCTTCAACAAACCAACGTTCCTCCCGCCCGCCGCCAAAGCTTCGTTTCGTTTGCAAGCGGACACCACGGACCCCATGCCAAGCTTTTGGTGATCCCCCCCAAAGACATCATTGGACACAGCTCTCCAAACCCAAACTCAGTTCCCGGTTCAAGCTCAAGCTCATCGTAGAAGTGAAGTGAAGCTTAGCCCAGCTTTGAGAGAGAGACAGAGTGACCTAGAGCTCGCACTCGCACTGAAGAAAGACACAGCAGCGCGCTGCCCCTCCACGATTTGGGGGGATCGACACTCTCGGGTCTTGGCAACGGCCACCACGGCGCTGCAGGGTTTTTCTGACAGGATCTGGCGCTATTCTGTTCGCTCCATCTGCGCCCTACAGATCCTGAGAAATTGAGATACACGAGAGAGAGAGACACAGGGACTTGTCTCTTCCGCAAGCCAACACTTGCCGGGGTTCCCAACGCCTGTCTCCGGCCCCCCCCGACGGGCGCATTTCAAGCCACCATCGCCGTCGCTGCTGTCGCTGTCTGTGTCGCGATCGCAGACATTCTCCCGTAATTCCAATCAAAGTATTTCTTATTTCAATTGCGCACTATAACCACCATCCGCACCATGTCGGCCGCCGACGAACAAAGGCCCAACGGACGCCCACATTCCGCCGACCCGTCCACCTCTGCCGCCGCCGCCGAAACTTCCACCACCACGGCCACAACTTCGGCGCCACCAACAGATCTCGGCGCCGCCCAGCCTGCGACAACAACAGCAACAACCTCTGAGCCGATTGAGAACCTCAACGGTCACACGGTGAATGGCACCGCAGCCGACGGTCCCTCGACAAACAGCCACGCACCCAATGGCACAACTCACTCCCCGGCGGCCCTTAACGGCAATGCCACCACCCACGATGCGCCGGACCTGAACGGGCACTCGTCACCTTCATCCTCGCCCAACGGCGCCCCGGCCGCCGCTAGCGAGCAGATCAATGATGGCACAGTCCCATCAGCAACAACAACAAACGGTGGGCCGCCAACCAACGAACATGAGCCCAAGCACGGAGAGGGAGCAGCCCTCGAGAACAAGATCGAGGGCGTACAGAACCCGGATGCTAACGGTCACAAGCCGCCCCACGAGAAGCCCCATCACCACTCTAGCGATCTCAAGGGCCTCTACTCCGAGGGCAAAGAAAAGGTCAAGGACAAGACCAAGCCCTCTGGCGGCTTCGACCCGACACCCTTACCCAACGCGCCTCCCGGCTACACCGTGCGATTCATCTTCCACAAGGCGAGCAACCTCCCCGCCGCCGACATTGGCACCCAGTCCTCCGACCCCTTTATCCACGTCACCCTCCGCGCCGCCGTTCCGAAGCGCCACAAGGAAGACCCAGACCTCACCCTCCGCACCCAAACCATCCGGAAGACGACGGAGCCCGTCTGGGATACCGAGTGGGTGGTGGCCAACGTCCCCGCCGACGGCTTCATCCTCAAATGCCGCCTCTATGATGAGGACTGGCCCGACCACGACGACCGTCTCGGCAACGTCACCGTCAGGGTGCCCCACGTCGGTCCGGACTGGAAGGGGTATCCGCGCCCCGGCCAGGAGTTCACGGCCAAGAAGCGCATGGGAAGCAAGCGGGCTTACTTTGTCAAGGCCATCACCAGCCACTTTGACCCGCGCGTTGATATGTCCCCTAGGCTGTGGATTAGTATGGAGCTCCTAGGACAGTCTGACCCGCCGCACGCGCAGATGTGCACACTCGGGCCGACCACCTACTTTAAGCACTTTAGTCCCATGATTGGCCGTCTTACTGGTATCAAGGTCAACCGGGACGAGGAGAACGACGCCCGGTCCGATTTGTTTGACGAGGCCGAAAACAAGGAAAAGGACAACAAGACCCAGAAATACGAGTAGGTTTCATCGCCCGACACCGTCCTGCCAAACACGTTGTTAACACGCCGTCACAGCTTCCAATCGAACGAGATGCAGCTCTCAGGCCCCGTCCCTCCCGAACTCTACCACCGCTACGTCGAGTTCCGCCCCATGATCGGCCTCATGTTCGCAAAGAGCGGCCTGCGCGGCCGCATCCTCAACAAGGCCCTGCACAAGCAGCACAGCCGCGTCTACAACTTTGACAGCTCGACAGAGTACGGCGTCTTCAAGGCCCGCTCCGAGGAGGCCGCGCTGCAGTTCCTCAAGCTCGTCCACTTTGACCAGGGCGGCCGCATCTTCACCTACGTGCTGACCCTCGACGGCATGTTCCGGTTTACGGAGACGGGTAAGGAGTTTAGCATCGACATGCTTAGCAAGCATACCATGCACAGCGACGTCGAGACGTACATCGCCTGCTCGGGCGAGTTCTTCATTCGGCGGCTCGAGAAGCCCGATGCGTCGGAGGAGGCGGACCCGCCTGAGCGGACGCACCCGACGGAGGAGCTGCCCAACGGCCCGCCGAACGAGCACCCGCCGCATAATCCGTCGTACTACCAGCTCTACATCGATAACGACTCGGGCACCTACCGGCCAGACAAGTCGATCCTCCCCAAACTCAAAGAATTCCTCGAGGCAAACTTCCCCGGGCTGGGCATCGTGGTGATGCACTGCGAGGACGAGAAGCTGCAGAAGCTCAAGAAGGAGCAGGTCGAGGCCAAGAAGAAGGAGGGCAAGATGATCAACATGGTGGCGCGGAGTCCCAGCTCGAGCTCGCTCAGCTCCAACGAGAGCGCGCTGGAGCACATGGACCAGGCGGGATATGATGGCGAGCCGGTCAAGAGTACGACGCAGAAGGCACTTGATGCGTTGGAGGACCCGAGTAGTCTGAAGAGGATGCTGAAGCCGGGGCATCATGGGGGAGGGGAGAGTTCGACGGCTCATTAATGGTAGGGGTTAGGTTATGGGTTTTTTTGACGTTATATCTTTGATACCTTTTGAGTTTGGATTGACCGCAACGGTACGGCGTTGACTATTTATACTTGGATATTCCCCGTCTTTGGACATTGCTTAACTTGGATCAGAGACTGGATGGTCTGCAAGATCGACTATAATTGAATTTCACAATATCGCTGCTACCTTAACTAAAAGAAAGTACAAATCTCGTTGCAATTTCATTTCGTGACCTCACATCTCGCAACATCGAACTCGAGGTCTTCCGCCTCATTACTGAAAGGGGTCGAAGTCTAGACTCTGCGCCCTCTACGAACTCCAGGCCATCCCGGGCTCGGATTGGGACGCGGAAAATCAGACGCCATGTTGGTCTCCTTCTGCCGGTCGCCAAAATAGGTGTTGGCCGGGAACTTGTTCTGGCTGACGCAGTTGGGGTTACACTTGTCGAGGGGTCCAGACTTGCCGCGGGTGAGGTCGAGAACGTATGTATCGTCCTTGCAATCGGGGAGAACTGTGTCATTGTGAGTATCGTTAGCAAACAGCATATTTTAGGACATATGAGGATGTAGGCATTGAATTCGTAGGAATCTGGTTGGGCTTACCCTTGAGGTCGTTGAAAGGGATGGTGTTAAGGTAGCAATCTTTGAACTGGGTCGAGTAGGCCGTGTAGAGGCCGTTGTAGTTCCAATACCAATTCCTTATTTTCTCATCAGTAATCTCAGAGCTATTGAGCCAAGGTCAGGAAGACTATGATGTACTTATTGGTGTTGTCGGCAGCGCAGCCCATCATGATGAGGGTACCAGCGGGCCCTGTCTTGACGAGCTCGGACTTGGTGTCCGGGCAGCAGTAGGTTTTGACTTCGGCTGTGGCCGTACAGTTGAGGGAGGCGAGGGCGCCTGAGATGGTGGCTGCGATGATGATGGACTTCATGGCTTGTGGTTTTGGTGAAGGCTTTTTATCATCTGTCTCAAGACGCTTGAACACTCTATTTATACTCAAAATTATGGAGACTCAAGATATGGCTGTCAGATCCTTAAACGCAATTAGCATTACGGCTCACGCCGGCCAAGCGAGTATGCGGGATTGAGCTGGTGGTAACGTTCAACTACCGAGTTTGCGGGGATTTAGCCTATGGCCTCTTTCATATTCCCAGAGACAGTTCATCTATCATGGTTCATTTATGAGCTACCGCAAACGGCAATTCGCCAAAACGTTCAGGACAAGTTGGGGGTTCTCAAATTGAAATGGGGAGGCGCCAAGACGAGGATCTCTATATGCCAACCGGTTGTTCACCTGCAGATATTTGCCGGGACTTCATATATCGAAAGTTCCGATGCTACATTGAAGTGTACCCATCCCGCATTTAAGCTAGAGGCGAATAGTTATAGCAACTATGAGTGTAGAAGACCAGCAATCGTCGGATTGTGACAGTTTCGCGCGGCATAGTAGACGTGTGCGCCGGATGAACTCGATCTTTGAAACGGCAAAGTGCCAGACTGAGTCCAGGTGAGGCTACCTTATTGTCATGGATGTCAACAGGTTTGATGGCATTGCGGTGTAGAATGACCCAATGAAACGGATCTGAGTGCTAGGTCAAAGAGCAGATGACCCCTTGGAGCGGAAAAAGCTCCTTTGGTAAGTGACGATGGTCATGCCAAGACAGGTTTTGCCTGAAATGCGTGTATTATGAACACCACCTTCAAGTTGAAAACTGACCGGTCAAATGGGTTGCCACTCTGGGTACCCGGACAGCGAAGCAGACCGTTGCTAGGATTGAGTTACAGCTGGTGCAGAGAAAGGTGGTTCTATCTCCCCTGATCTATGGATGAAGGCACGGCTGGAGTGAGATGGTTGACGTAGTTGTTTTTGAAAGATAATTTCCGAAGACTCATCCTCACATTCTGACGTGCTTTAGACGAAGAGAATAAGGACAGTCATCCTAAAGTATCATCACGACACAACTATGTTCACAGACGACTCTACCTATGATCAGCCTACAAATCTCCCGATCTACGCAACACAGTAAACTCCGCAACAATAAACCCAACATATCCAATCAACATAATACCACCCACCACCCGCTGAATAGTCCTATTCAACCACATCGACCCCGTAAATAGTGCAGTACTACCCCATAGAACAGCTAACTCAGCGCCCGATACGCTCCCCGCGCTCCCCAAAGCCCCCTCCGTGCCAACCATGACGATACCCAGGCAGAGAGTCAGCAAGAAGACGTTGCTGCCTACCGTGTTAGCAACCAAGATGCCGCCGTGCCCGCGCTGGCCGCCGAGCACGGCGATGAACTTCTCCGGCAGGGTTGTGCCAATGGCGAGGACGACGATACCGAAGAGCACTTCGGAGGCACCGAGGGCGTCGGCAATGTTGGTCGCTGCGTGGGAGAGGATGTAGCCTGAGAGGCAGATTGCGAGGAAGCCGGCGAAGAGGTAGGCGATGTGGTAAGTTAGCCCGCGGCGACGGCGCAGGAATCGGTCCGAGGGACGGAGGAGGGGCTGTCGCTCGCCGTCGGTGTCGTTAGTTTCTGGTACAGGTTGCGATGCTGGAGCGCGGCTATTTCTCCGAGAAGAATTTGAAAAGTCTGAAGAACTGGATGAAGTGTCATCTCCATCGCTGGAGCTATCGCTGTCTGAACCTTCTGGTGCTACCAGCGTTCCTCGGCTAATTGCCCATCCTATCGATAGTAGGTAGACCACAAATACAACAATCAAGACGATGCCGGTGACCTGCCAAAGGAACGTACGTGGCAAGTACGTGATAGGAATGACAGCAGTCGTAATACCGAGCAACAGCAGCGAATAGATGCGCGCGCTGCGATCAAACTCCACCGCGTCCCCTTGCTTGCGGAAAATGAGACCCAGCGAAAAGGCGCCGAGGATGTTGGAGATGGCTGAGCCGACAATGTTGCCGAGTGCGAGTGAGGCGCGGCCTTGCGCCAGCGCGCTGACGACCACGGCGAGCTGGAGATGTATTGTAAGTCTAGGCTGTTCTCCGAGAGGATGATGTGGTTGACAAGATGTAAAGAGAGTCAGGATGCGGCGGGGCTTACTTCTTCCCACTCGGCGCCGGCGGTGATTAGGGCGATGAGGGTGTCCGGGATGCCGGTGCGCCGAGCGACGATGGCCGTGTTGTCCACGAACTTGTCGGCGCCGGCCTCGAGAAGGAAGAGGGTGCTGACGAAGACGGCCACATTGTAAGCCACCACACCATTAATTGACATCTCAAAAAAGCCGTGAGATCATGAGATAGAATTAGGAATTGCAATCGATCCGTGCTTCAAGACGGGTGATGAAGTTGAGAAATAAGAGGAAGTAAACTCCTCCGCCGAAGATGGGATGAAGGGCGGGACTGACTCGTCGGAAGACGTAGATCCACCCGGCATGGGGAATTGATGTTCTCGGCATTAATGAAGACCGAGCCGACGGAATTTCAATTGTCTGGGCCAATCAGCATTGTTTGTGTATCGAGATGTCTGATGTACGAAATTGTCAAAAATAGCCTGTGTAATGTCAAAGTTCCTTGAATCAATTGTCAGGCTGACTGTGATTATCCGAAAGTATGAGCTGGGCTCAGCATGTCGGAAGAACTATCTTGTGATGAACGAAGAGTGAGGCTAATGAAGCTACTGAAGGATCAGAGATTGAATCGACAGTTGTAGATTTCTGGCCGTGATTGTTTGATATTACGATGAGTTACCTAGGAATAGGGGCCAGCTCAATTCGTCCAGGCCGAGAGAGAATACCGAAAGTCATATTGTCAGAAATTAACATGATTTTATGAAGAGTGATGAAAATGAAATACTGAAGCTTAGTCGTTGCAGTATCGAATTTAGTTTCCTTTGAGCGTTACGTAGATAAATAGGTTGCGATCCTTCAACATCGGATAGTTGAAGGCTTCGTTTCAACTGTTGGGCATAAAATCCACGGAGAAAGTGAGCAGAATTTAGATCAACCAAACACTTCGGAAAGTCAATCGACTCCCGTCTGAGATCGGCAAGATAACGGATCTTCGCGCTCAAGTTCCCTATGCTATGTGGATACAGGCCGAGAGGTCGGGCCATCTCGTGTCTCATGCACAGCGCATGAAGTCAATGGAGGGCAGAAAACGCTGCTGACAATTTGCCAGCCTCTGATAATCGACACTGGCATTTCAAGATCTCGGAACAGCGTCTCTACACGCGTCAACCGAAGGCGCTTTTTTGGAACTAAAACATTATAGATAAGAGAAATTTGAGTTTAAGAACTCAACGAAGCCCATACTTGGCATGTATTGTACTCCTGATAGAGTATGAGAGTCCAGCATGTCACAACAAATCAACGCCAATCGTTACATTGCAAATTTTTGAAAGAACAACTCAGACTCATAGTATTGGAAAGATAAATCAGAAATAGCTAGCTAATGAAAAATGAACCCAAATTCGCAACAATGGTTGGCCAGAGAACACATTCGTAAAAATCGTAATGGAGCACCCATAAAGCTGTTGTGCCATGCACATAATGCCCATCTATTTGAGAGCCTCGCGGACCTTGCTCTCGAAGCTGCCATCCTTGAAGGGAACGTTGGCCTTTCCGAAGTTGGTGTCTTGAAGAGCGGTCTTGGCGGCGGCGGGGAGAGCATCCCAGTCGGAGATGGGGTAAGTCTTGCCCTTGGTTTGAGTGAACTGAAGCTCGTGGTTGGTCGGGAAGGTGGTGAAGTATTCAACCTTGGCGCTGTTACCGTCCATGGGCGGAGCGCCGTTGGCCTTGCTGTAGCCGCTGTGGCTGGAGGCAGCTCCGCCGATGATCTTGGGAGTAGCCGCGGCTGGGTCGTCGATCTGGAGGACAATGTTCTCCCAGTCGTGGCGGTGGCCTCCGGCGACGTCACCGCCGGTGGGGTGGTCCTTGGGAAAGTACCAAGAGTACATGATGACCGTCTTGCCGTCGACTGTGCCGGCGCGGGCATACGTTTGGCCCTTAGACTGATCGCGGCAGCCGCCGGTGGAGCTGCCGGTATCCTGAAGACCACCGCTGGTATCACCGTTATCGGCAACGGCGGGATATGGCTGGCAACCGTGGGCGATGTGGAGAAGGGGGTTGAAGGTCTCGATGACCTTGCCGAGGCCGCCAGTCTGGATTCTCTGGGCGACGGGGCTGATGGAGTCGTGAGCCACAACGGCGCGGGATTGAAGGAGCTCAGTAGGCGCGGCTGCAACGGCGGCAGCGAGGGCCAGGATGTTTGAGACCTTGAAAGAAACCATTGTGAAAGTTAGGAATCAAATGAATGAAAAGTGAATGTGGGTGTGCTGTAAAGCGAATGAAAGTTGAGTCTGAGTGAAAGGAAGGAAACTGATGCGATGAATGAAGAAGGAATGATAGCTTTGGAAAAGGACGAAGGCTTGCTCTTTATACTCGAATATCTGATGATGATGATGCTTTGCTTGTATGATGTCTTGATTACTATCTTGAAGATCACCAAAGCATCTGCCAAGCAGCTGAGCATTTATAATCCTCGTCTCACGTTGAAAATAGCAATTAAACAAACTTCTAGACGTCTTTAGTTGGCCTGACCAAGTTGAGGGCCGTGAGTGGCATCAAGGCCAACCAGTCGCCAGACCACGATGTTTAACCAAGCCTTCCGAGATTGAGGCCTGTCTGATCTTGACGTTCAAGACTCCATATTGGGGGCAGTGAATATTCAGGGGAAAAGTATGAAGGTCTTATTGAAGGCCCTCTAAGGCAATGAAGACAAGGTCGTCAGTCTTACCGGACTCTCGGCGCGGGTTTCGATTGCTCGTGACGTCCGAACACCCTTCGGTTAGATGGCTCCATGAACCTCATATTGATTGATCCAAGACTATCTCAAGGCCATTTGGGGCTGGTGCAGCTCGGCGGACGGTCATTCTGAACAAGGCCGATAATACTACCTACCTAATCCTG